GTATAAAGTACTCTGAGCAACAGTGCCATCATTTGGTCAAAGAGTGCTACCTGCAGCAATGAAGCAGTCTTGTTCTTGCTTTTACATAAGTGGGCTTAATGAAATGAAACCAGAGTGCCTCTGTGGTACAGACTGCAGCTCTGGTTCCATCCAGGCTACTCAGCTCCAGACTATTGATCCTGCCTGAAAGAGTGCATCTTTGAAAAAAAAAACGAACAAACATAAAAACAGACAACTTAGCCTTACCGTGGAGTCCCTGGTTGAGAAGCTGGACAGCCCATTACTGCTTTGCTCCCATGTAGAGGAGCTGTATGCTTTGCTGCTGCTGCTGAAGGCCTCCTGGGTGGAGCTCCGTGAAAGGGCCGCCTGAGTAGAACTTCGTAACAGGCCCGAGTAGCCTGGGTGGGAGCTGGAGTCATTTGAGTCAGCCACATCCCTAGATCGACTGCGGTAGCTCCGCAGGGCACTGGTGGAAGAGGAGGAAGCATCGTTGAGGCTCAGAGAGGACAGATCCCTGCTCAAGTCACTCTGCGAAACAGATTTTCGGCGACTGAGCGAGATGCTGGAGGCCGCCGGTGAAGAGTAGAGGTAGCTGGACTGGGCTGGGGATGAAGAGAAGGAGCTATAGCCAGAATAGGCAGACCCCCCACTGAGCCCTGACCCTCTGTAGCTCTTGACAGGGGTTCTGCTAAGGCTGTCACTACGGCGGCTGTTGCTGCTCCCGAGGAGGTCGGTGCGTGGGACGGTTCGGCCCCGGTCACGATCAGGGTCTGAAGAGGTGCTGTAGTTGTGACTACGGACAGTAGAGCTGCTCAGATAGCTGGAGGAGGAATAACCTGAGGAAGAGATGGAGGACGTGGGGGACTTGTAGGTGGACAGCCTGTCCCGATCGGTGTAGGAGCTAAGGCCTGGGGTCAAGGAGGGGCTGTAGGAGCTGTAGTGGCTGGTGTAGGAGGAGCCAGCGTAACGCTTGGCGGTGGAGGAGACGCGAGACATGTTGCTGCTGCTGAATTGTCAGCCTCAGGGAGGGAGAGCCTCGAGAAGACTGCATCGACTGCACACACAGCAAAGAGAGCACCGTGTTAGTTGATCAGCAGCAGTAAAACCAATACTTACACAACAGTAAGAACGCAGGCAGAAGTTAGGCCATTGTTTATCCTCCACGAGCCCCTTTCAGAGAGACGGAATGATTCAGGAATGTACAGCATAGACTTTAACAGGACCAACAACAGAAGGCCTGTTGTGTAACACCACAAATAATAACTCACTCAACGTGCATTGCTCTTGTATATAAACACTTTGTCCTCTTTGACCAAAATGACCACGATTCCTATTTACATGACTGCTGCCTTGTTTTCTTCCATCAGCGCCTCTCCATTAATTAACAATATTTGTGTTTTGTTTCAAAATGCAGAGGCACAAAAAGCCAAAAGAAAGTTTTTTCATTTTTCACCTCGAAAATGAGTTGCTGGACGTCAATGTTTGACTACTTTGATGTTTTTAGTTTTAAGATTATTGCTGCAGCTTCCCAAATGTTTGTATTTGTAATTATTTGTGTCCTTAACATGTTTTTTGTCTTCCCTCATATAGAAAAGCAGATGGCCGCTCGTCCTGAGCCTGGATCTGCTGGAGGTTTCTTCCTGTTAAAAATTAGTTTTTCTTTTCCACTGTCTCCTTTGTGCTTGCTCAGGATGGGAGACTGATGAAGTGAAGATTCAACACAATCTGCTGCTTCCTTAGACAGATACCTTTACTTTTTTATTCTTCTTTCAGCTGCTCCTTCTTCAGGGGTCACCAGTGCACTAACTCACACTAAGACTTGGTGATTGAGTTTATGCTGGATGTTCTTCCTGACGCAACCACAGACACCGAGCTACCACAGCCCTCTGCGTGGAGCAGAGAGCTGCTATCTAGGGTGCCCAGGGGAGCAGATGGTGGGGGTTGACGGCCTTGCTCAAATACCCTGAGTGAGGAGATGAGGGTGGAGGTAGGTGTGGGTGTTCCACCTTTCCTACCCACATTTTGATGTTGTTGGTGCGTGGAGTTGAACCATCGACCTTCCGATCACAGGCCCACCTTTTCTAACCTCTGCACCACCACTGATTGGCATTTATAATGTATGTGAATGTTTCTGTTCAGTGCCCTGAGATGACCTGTTGAGACTTGGCTCTGTATAAATCAACTGAAGTGAATTCAATCTGTTTGTGCTCCTCTACAATGAAGCTTTTTCCTGACAAGCTCTGAGAGGAGACAGAGGAGGGAATCTCTTCCTCTTTCCTTCATTCACAGAACACACAGACGCATTATTATTTTTTCATTCAACCTATATTTATTTATGCAACTGGCAGTTTGGACCTAGCGATGAGAGTCCTTCTGTTGTATCACTGCAGAGCTCAGTCCCCTCATCCGACACTTGGTGATTATAGTAACTACACATGAACAGTGCAGTACATGTAGCTTCAAAGTTTGTATAACTACATACACAAAAGTAAGACAAATTTTTCACAGAAGAAAAGTTTACAAAAATGATTTTACTTTGTAGCTTTAGTTGGATTAAATGGGAGGTCTACAACAATGTGGCTCTTATCCACCCCCACCCCTACAAACACACACAAAGTGTGTTTTGGTAGCTTTAACCAAAAACTACATAGAAATGTTTAGTGCAATAACATTATAACAAGTGTGGTGCAAAAGATGTACTTTGTACATAAAATATTAAAGTGAGACACATTCTAATTATTTTGCACAAAAAGAACAAAAACTCAAACAAGTCAGCATGACTCTGTGACTAATTTAGTTTAAATGAAGACTTTGCAAGAAACTATAGTTTGTTTTATACCAGAGTTTAGTCATTGTTTTGCCACAACATAAAATAGCAATTAAATGTTGACAGTTTACTATCAACATTACTTATGTTTTATTCAGTCTGTTACTTGTTATTTTTTATTCTCCTAAAACTGTATAAGCTGTTACGTTTTTAATTAAATAGTTAGAGAGCTTTTGCAGCTTTTGTCAAAAACATGTCTTTAAAAAAATAGTAAATGGACTGTACTTATACAGCACCTTTACATCGTATCAAGATACTCAAAGCTCTACAACACAATCTGTGCCTCATTTACCCATTCATACAACACTCTACTAGATCTATACAGAGACTAATCAGAGCTTTATCACATTCATACACTGATGGGACACACATCAGAGGCAATGAGGGGTTCAGTGTCTTGCCCAGGGACACTTCGGCATGTGACTGCTAATGGAATCAAACCCCCAACTCTCCCATTGATGACGACTGCTCTAACCACTCAGCCACAGCTGCCCTGAAGAAGAAATAAAATCTCGATAAATTAAATATCCATCTATTTTCTGCTGTTTATCTGTAGTTGAGTCTCAGAGGCAACAGGTTTAGGAGAGAACAACAGACACCCCTTTCCCCAGCACATTCTCCAGCTCCTTCTGGAGGACCCCAAGGTGTTCCCAGGCCAATGAGGACATACCCTCCAGAGAGACTAGGTCTGCCCCAGGGTCTCCTCCTAGTAGAACATACCCAGAAACCCCCCAAAAAGCAGCATTCTAATCACATAACAGAACGTTCTCTACTGACTCCTTTCAATATATATATATATTTTCATTGACCCTTTATTTATCCAGGTAGTCTCATTGAGCCACGAGAACTCATTTTCAAGAGAGACCTGTTTAGGGAGCAGATGGTGGGGCTTAAGGGCCTTGCTCAGGGGCCCAGAGTGGGGCAATTGAGGGTGGAGGGAGGTGTGGGTGTTCCACCTTTTCCACCCACATTTTTTTGATGTTGACGGTACCGGGAGGTGAACCTGCGACTTTCTGATCACAGGCCCATCTTCTAACCTCTGCGCCACCACTCCCCATAATATAGAGGAGCAGTGGCTCCACTCTGAGCACCTTCTCTCTAAGGTTGAGCACACCCCCCTACAAAGAACAGCCACTTGTATAATCTTCTTTTGGTTGTGACCCATACCTCGTGACCTTCAACTTAGCTCCTTCTTCACCACAAACACAACTGGAGCAACACCCTCGTTACTACAGACATAGTTCCAATCCATCTCCCAGACTCAAGAACTTGAAGTCTTCCACCTGAAGCAAAGACACATTCATGGCCTGAAGGGAACATTCCATGTTTTACTGGTTGAGGACCATGGTCTTAGCTTTAGAAGAGCTGGCTCACATCCCAGCTGCTTCACAGATGGTTGTGACCTGTGCCATTGCACACTAGAGGTCATGGCCTGAAGATGCCAAACAAACCACATCATCTACAAAAAGCAGAGCTAAGACTCTGAGGTTCCCAAACCAGACACCCCACTTTCATCGACTGTGGCTTGTGATCCTGTGCATGAACACCACAAATGCTAAGAGAATAAGAACAGCCCAGGTGAACTGAGTACAAATTTGTATCAAGGATGTGGACACAGATCTTGATTTAGGTAAACAGTGTCTGAATAGTCCTTAAAAATGACCCCGGCCCATCCTTCTCCAGCAGCACCCCCACAGAATCTCTCTGGGAACATGGCCATCTACATTAAATGTGAGCAGCTAAAATTTCTACTATCGAAGATTCCTTCCTGGTATATTTTAGGTTAAAAAGATAGCACTTACAAAGATTTAAACACATTGTAAATGTTAACTTCTTTTTTGTACATGAAAAACAGATCATTTGATACATTTTATTAGCTTTGACGT